TTCTCCACTCATTCCGCCTGCAACCGCTGGGGAGAGAGCTGAAGTGAGGAGCCCCGCTCTATCCACTGCTGGCCAAGACTACTACTTGTATAGCTTGCTCTAAATTTCGATTTAAAGCTTTCGTGACTGCAGAGATTCATCTTCTTGGTTCTTTTGGTAAAGTCACGTAAAATGGAAATAATCAAATAATAAAAATAAAACATAATAAAGTGTGGAAGGAGGGAATGACCATCGCCAGTAGTCTAGGCCAGCAGTGGATAGACAAGCTATAGCTTGCTCTATCCACTGCTGGCCTAGACTACCACTAGTAATAGCATACTTTATCCACTGCTGGCCTAGACGACCTCTAGTACACCATGCCTATTGCATGCACTATCCACTGCTGGCCTAGGCTCCATCTCTATAGCGTTGGCTCTATCATGGCCCAGACTCAATCTCTATAGGATGCTCTATCCACTGTTGGCCTAGACTCTTGTGCCCCGCCCACTCCGTTCTGACACTTGGGCTACGCCCACTTTTAAACCTTTATAAACAGTTGCAGTTAGAGGCTTACCCCCCTTTTCTCCCCACCTGATGATGCCCGCTTGTATTGCGATCGAAACGTGGTAGTTTTTTGTTTTTCTTTTCATTAATTTGAACCTATCTACGTAACTTTACCGAAAGACCCAAAGAATATTAATTCCTGCAGTCACGAAAGCTTTAAGGCAGATTCTAATGTATTAGTCCACGTGCCACTGTGGAATTGGTACCACCTGAGATTTCAAAACTTTAATGGGTGCCAATTTCTTTATATAGTCAATAAAAGTGAATGACGTGATAGCCTTTATAAATGAGCAGCTTATGCGTACTATTTTTATTTTAAGTGTTTTCCTCCTTGGGTGGTGCAAAGAAAATGAATGGTTTTGGCCCATGGACTATATTACAGAAGTAGTGCGGTTAAGGAGTTCCAGACATTTCAGGTCCAATTTTCATCCATGTGAAGTTGATAAGTTTACCTCACTAGGACACCTCCCCCCCCAAGTTCACTCAGATGAGACAATAGCAGAGGATGGGTGCCGACTACACAACCTGGTATTCCAAAATGGATTTAATAAACGCTCACAGAAAGCACTGGCCCCTATGGTCGAAGGCTGAATGAGTTAGGTGCAAATGTTATTTTTTTTTAAACATTACAACTAAAATATGGCAACATGCTAAACTTATGCGAACACTGTGCAAGGTAGAATTATATCAAGACAAAACGTAGTATATTACCTACACTGCTCCACAGTACTATCTATGTTCCTTGTGCCAAATATACGACAGTTTGTTACAGGATCCCTATAAATCCATAGGGTACTGCAGCAGGGCACACTCAGGCCCTTATTGTAACCAATGGTTAAAATATTGCATGGAAAAGAGTAGAAGGTATATATCCGAAGCCTTAATTATGAAACCCAAAATGTATATAATGGAAGCTGTTTTCATTAATATTTGCTTTTTTATGGGTTTTTATATGGTTCTCTGTTGGTGGTGTTAATAATCTTTTCATGTCCTAATCTCGACTGATATTCCTGGCTTCACCAAGTTAACTGGACATTCAAATGCATGAAGACTGTTTTTTTTTAAATTTAAGGGAATAATGGGCCAAGTTATGCAGTCTAAAAAAAAGTACAGGCTTCGATTTAAAGCTTTCGTGACTGCAGGGATCCATCTTCTTGGTTCTTTCGGTAAAGCAATAACATAATAAAAATAAAACATAATAAAAATAAAATAAAATAATTCTCACGACGTTTCGGCTACAACGCAAGCAGCTGTCCTCAGGTGAAGAATGAGACACTACCAAGCTAGGAGCTTATATATACGCTGCGTTGGAGGTGCAAGAGCGCCTTAACAAAAAGAATGTGCATATGAAGAGGAATTTAGCATATTCATGGGAAATGCGTAGGAGGTGGGTGGGGGGGGTTTCATAGTCATATTATGCCCATGCATTATGCAGGATCAACAGCACCAAGGGGGGGTGCAGTAGCATTAACAAAGGAAAAGAATGTTAATAGTATGTAGCTGCAGTTACTAAACAACAACGTAGAAAACTAAAGTATAAACTACATAAAAAACTCAAGTATAAACTGCATAGCACCATCAGTATACTTACTATACTCTACAATAAGCTGAGTTACTAACAGCAAGTAATACATTACAATTCTACGTCGTAAAAATTATATAATATGCTTCCATCTAAACTTTATTCTCTTACATCACACGAGCATACACCGTACTATATACTGCCATAGATAAACCCAACATTAAATTATATACTGTATTGCTATAAACCATGAGCCACTCTGTCTACAGGAAAGCCACCCATACGGATGCTTACTTAAAACCGGATTCCCACCACCATCCATCCCAGAAGAATTCCCTCATCAAGACTCTATATCATAGAGCCCAATGCATCTCCGACCAGGAACACATTGCCAGTGAACTCAAACACGTACGCCAAGCTCTTAAGGCTAATGGTTACTCCGACTACACAATCCGCAAAGCCATCACTCCAACCATCAAGAAGGATCCTGTTGAGGAGCCTTTCAAGACCATCACCTTACCCTACATTGCTGGGGTCACAAAAAAGATCTCCAAAATCCTGATTAAACACAAGATCCAGGTCCGATTCAACACAGTACATAAAATCCGTGATCTGGTACCGTCTGTAAAAGATGTGGTTCCAGACATACAGTACCCTGGCGTCTACAAACTAAGTTGCCTCTGTGGTAGCAGTTACATTGGGGAAACCAAACGACATGTCTCGGACCGCATCCGTGAACATAAAGCGGACTTGAAACACGGTAGGACAAACACCTCAGCCGTGGCAGATCACTGTTACAACTCAGTGGGCTCACATGACATTGACTTCTCCAAGACAGAGGTTCTCTGCAAGCCATCTGGCTATCATGAGAGATTCGTTCATGAGGCGATCCACATATACAAACACAGAGACAATTTTAACCGAGAAGATGGATTCTGGCTTAGCAATCATTGGAAGGACGTAATAAACCATTTGGGATCTTAATTGATTGTGTTCACGTTTACGGTGACTTTCAGACCGCGTTCCACTCACTGGCATTGTATTCTCCGCAGGGAATGGATTCTTTGCTCCGCTGCAAGTTTCCCCCCCACGACTCACCCATTGATACGACGGTCAATGGTACAGCGTATAATAACAAATAGTATAACATTTATATGCTTAATACAATGTACAAAGTAATATATAGTATCGTAATTGTATAGTAAACATATAGCAGTGTGATACACATTAGGGTGAGTAGAATAATACATAGTGTTATATTAAAATGTATAAGGTATAGGGTGGTTTATAGCAATACAGTATATAATTTAATGTTGGGTTTATCTATGGCAGTATATAGTACGGTGTATGCTCGTGTGATGTAAGAGAATAACGTTTAGATGGAAGCATATTATATAATTTTTACGACGTAGAATTGTAATTTATTACTTGCTGTTAGTAACTCAGCTTATTGTAGAGTATAGTAAGTATACTGATGGTGCTATGCAGTTTATACTTTAGTTTTTTATGTAGTTTATACTTTAGTTTTCTACGTTGTTGTTTAGTAACTGCAGCTACATACTATTAACATTCTTTTCCTTTGTTAATGCTACTGCACCCCCCCTTGGTGCTGTTGATCCTGCATAATGCATGGGCATAATATGACTATGAAACCCCCCCCACCCACCTCCTACGCATTTCCCATGAATATGCTAAATTCCTCTTCATATGCACATTCTTTTTGTTAAGGCGCTCTTGCACCTCCAACGCAGCGTATATATAAGCTCCTAGCTTGGTAGTGTCTCATTCTTCACCTGAGGACGGCTGCTTGCGTTGTAGCCGAAACGTCGTGAGAATTATTTTATTTTATTATGTTTTATTTTTATTATTTTATTGCTTCCCTTCTACGTGACTTTACCGAAAGAACCAAGAAGAAAGTACAAGCTGTTCGTCAGATTGCAAAGACTTCAGTCATCTGGGACGTAAATGTTTTAAATACAACTATGAAGCTGAAATACTGCTTGTGGCATTCACAGTTGGGAAGTGCTGTACCATACTAAATCCTCAAATGCATTTCCAGTCATTATCCGTTGTTGATCATCGTTTCATCATAATTTAGGCTAAAATACTTAAAACAATGTGGCCTGTGGATGTTCAGATCACAGGGGAAATTCCTTAGCTGGCTTTGTGAAGGTTCCGCTTTATTTATTAATTCATAAATGACATTCCCCACATCACATTGTAAATGCATATTTTCTATTTGGTTTGAAGGTTCCCCAATAAAGCAAGCTTGCTTTGCGAGGACAGGCAAATCTTTACTGCAATGCAGAGAAAAGTAACACTCATTGGCATTAACACAATTTGAATTTATATAGCGTATAAATGCAACCGCATCCTAGGAAAATGAAGCCGTCAGTGAGAGGCAGGCAAGAGAAAGGTCTTGAGCGGAGTAGCAAGGAAGTTTGAAAGAGTAGGAAGTAGGTGCGGGAGGGTCATTGTAGATATGTGTAGTCGTGAGAGTATCGGTGGATGTAGCCATCATAGTGTGTTGTGGGGTGGGGGTAATTAGTGGTGTTGGTGTGGTTGAACTATTAGTAGTCTCTCTCCCTGGGCCCCAGCAACAGGATGTGAAAATTCCTGTCAAGGCCGCCAGAGGGTTTTGATGTATGGTGAGACTGGGCCAAGAAGACTGAGAGCCAAGGGGGTGGCAGATGAGTGAGGATTGTTGCAGCCAAGTTTAATTTAACTGTGAACCAGTAATGTAAAAATTGTCGTGGGAGATACCAGGCAAGATTCTTGCATTAGGTAATGGGGGACCGAGAGTTGAAAACTGAATTCATGCATCAGTCTGTTCAATATACTGTTAAGTATATGCTTCATGTAGATCACAACACAATCTTACAGGTTTGGAGGCCTTTGCTGTCAACTGCACTCAAAGACCTTGAGCTTGACAAACCTGGCTGTTGAGGAGTCATCCCGTTTATGTTGGTTAGCCGCGGAGAAGAATTTGGACGAGGAGATTTTCTTGAATTGTGCATGCTCCACTCCGTACAGCAGCACCACAGGCAGAGCAAAATCAAACGTGATCCTCAGCCCATCAACCATCTCCTTGCACAGCTCCACACTTGAGTAAGGAAACACAAACACATACATGTACAAGCACACATATCAGCATGCAGGAATGATGAATACCACGACCTACCTACTGGAATGGACACACTCGTGGGGATATTACTGTTAAAGAGAACCGATTTAAGTCATAGTGGCACTAAAGTTGGAGTTTTAGCGAACAGTTCACGTGACGAACACCATGCCCAAACCTTCATGTCCTGTGCATTTTCTCCTTTCCCTGACAGCTATGTCAATGAAAGAGCCCCAGGCCAGGCTCTGGCAGCATTTGTGAGCCATGTATTTTTCGAAGAAAATAACTTTGGTCACAAGGAATGCCTCCCTTATGAATCGATGAAGTGTCACTATTCGGTGTCAAAATTCAAGAGGCAATTATATCTTCTATTGCTGGCGAATGTAGCATCCTCTAATGACAGTATGGGTCATATTTATCCAATGCATTTATACAAGGTATACAAATTGAAAGGTATGTCTTCTTAAATGTACAATCTATTTGACCTTATCATGAGTATAAATATGCATAATGCATTAACTAATGCATTGTTATAGCCATACAGATCACCATTTTTCACACACACATTACATAATGACAATAGCAGATACTTCAACAAAACCCTTGTGTAAGTGTACATCAAGAATCAACTGAGAAACGTATACTTCTGTTTATACATTACAAAGTATATTTTAACTCAGTTATGAATGCAAGCAGCTTACAATTCAAGAGCGATAAATGAGCTGCAATAATAAGTATGTAATGGTACATTCTCACGAGTATTATTTTCAAGAGTGACCTGGTGACATCACTGTATATTATTTGCTGGGGTCAACATTTCAACTGCCACTGTTGCCTTATGATTTCAGGAGAAGACTTTATGAAGCACTACATAAAAGCATTTGCCATTGAATGCTGTGTTCTAGGCCAAACACACAATCTACAGAAAATCCAAAATATTAAATTATGTCCATTTATGAAAATAGTTATTTATGTCTTGGAGCAATCCATTATTAAGGCGGCAGGATAGCATTGACCCGGGGTTAGAATCTGCATCTTCGCTGCCGGTGATGAATTGTTTTCAAGTGTAGTGAGTTAATGATGTCCGCTCATCACCAAAGACTGCCCAAAAAGTTATTGTTAAATTTCGTATTGCTCTCCATTGGGCTAACTTCCAGCTCAGTCATGTGACAATGTCATAGCAAGGCTTGTGTGAAAGAGCTCTCCCCTTAATGTGTAAACACAAAATCCACTTGAAGGATTTTTCTGAAGGCCTGTGAAAAAACTCACTTCCAAGGAATATTTTATGACACAAGGGGCACTGTGCTCTCTGATATTTCCCGTTAGATTCTTTATCTAATGACGTAATGCTGACAGCACAATTGTAACACATTTTCACCTGCTAAAGAACTATCATCTACTACTATACAGTATATTATCAGGCTTCTTTAGGCATAGCCAAGCATCAGTATACACCCATTAAATATAATGTGATGTACGAAGCATTGGACACCACTAACATTATTAGACACTTCCAGGCATTGCTATGCACAAATAGACACATCTCAGCGTGGCCATTAACAGGAGTGATTAGACAAGTACCAGACTCCGGGAGGCAACGGGAGCTGCCTCTAGGCATAACCAGGTATCGGTGCCAACCACGGAGGAATGGCAAGGCACTACTATGTGGCACAGGGGGGGTATGGTGAAGGATCTCACTTCTTCTCGGGCGGGGTGCAGCGCTGCACATAGGCGGGCGTGAGGGGGCTTGGCTGCGCCGGGTGCCGTGGGCGCTCGTTCCCCGTGAAGGCCACGTTGATGGCGAAGTGCTTGACGTAGTTCTCCAGGATGGAGATGACGTTCGGCAAACACGGCAGCTTTACCAACTGCGCACGAGTACACTTAAGTCAGCATCACGAAACAAACCTTCAGGCTAAAGCGGCTACATTATCCACAGAATGCCAACCATTTACCTACGACAACTAACAAATTATATAAGTGTGTTAATGATCGAAATTTACAGAGACAAAAACACCACTGTAATGTATAGAATAAATGCAGTACACAATATTATGACAATTAGTTTTCCCCTTTTTTCTGGCAACAAAACAGATGTTAAAACACCAAACTGAAACATTTTAGAAGGAATCATGTCTACATTAACCACAATACTTGTGGTCAGAATGCAAACAAAAAACACACTCTGGTAATATATGAATTGTCTTTGAAACTGATTGGTCCACACCAGAGACATCTTTCTTTTGAGCCTAGTCTCAAAACGGTGTTAGACCAGAAGACGCCAAAAAACTTAAATTTCGATTTAAAGCTTTCGTGACTGCAGGGATTCATCTTCTTGGTTCTTTTGGTAAAGTCACGTAGAAGGGAAATAATAAAATAATAAAAATAAAACATAAAATACAATTCTCACGACGTTTCGGCCACAACGCAAGCAGCCGTCCTCAGGTGAAGAACAGGGCTGTCGGAAAGGGGCAGTCTTTCCGACGAGGATGGCTGCTTGCGTTGTGGCCGAAACGTCGTGATAATTGTATTTTATTATGTTTTATTTTTATTATTTTATTATTTCCCTTCTACGTGACTTTACCGAAAGAACCAAGAAGACGCCAAAAGATGTACAGCACAAAGGCAAGCACTATCAGAGTAATGAGAGCTCGGGGTGAGCAGCTACATCATGGGATCTCCTTTGCCAGTACCAAAATATGAGAATAGGTTTTCCCCTTTTTTCTGGCTACAAAACAGGTGTTAAGATGTTAATACACCAGCTGTACGTAATATTATTTTAGGGCTTTCGGCACCATTTGTGATCAGAGCAGAGTGGAAGTCCGATTTGGACTTTCACAGACCCAATAAAATTTGACGCTACTCTTTCAGATCTGGCATTGGATTTTAATGCCAGGTTTCTTCCTCAGGCCAGACTTTTTCCACATCATCAGCATTTATTTCTCAGGGATGGTGGACTGCGGGCAGTGAAAGTGCCCTCTGGATTTGTGGATCCCCAGTTAAGAGGGCAGTGTTGAGCGTCACACTTTTTCTCTTTCCCCAGAGTTTTCTCTACAAAACTATTTAAATGAAGCTTCGACATCCAGACAATATGGTTCTGAGCAGCTTACCCACCTTCTTACGCTTGTTGATGAGAAAGCAGTCCTCTTCCAGCTGCTTCTTCAGCGACTCCGGAATCTCGACGACAATTGATTTCGTTTTGGATTCCTCCCTGTTTTTGTCTTCCTCATTACCCACTGCCTGCAAGGGTGATAACAGTTAAGGAGCATCTAAGGCAGGGGTCGTCAACCAAAATAATAAGAGACACCTTTTTCGAATTCGGTACAAAACTCAATATTTCAAGAGCCGCAATGCATGTGAATACACACGTACATAACGTCACGAAGAAGTCTGTAAAGAGCTGCATGCGGCTCTGGAGCCGCAGGTTTCAGACCCCTGATTTAAGAGAAAAACCCTAACCCGACACAATATTAAGGGGCACTGGCACTCACATTCATATCCAAAACATTCTCATCCTCGTCACTGCTGTCCTCCTCCTCCTCGCTTGCATCCTCTTCCACGTCCGAGCTGCTGCTGAATGCTGCAGAGGCAATGATCTAGTCAATGCCTCTCTGCCACGTTTGTGATTGTACAGTTCTCAGGAAATATGCTTTCTGAAATATGTAAAAAAATATTTTATGTATGTTTCTCTTCACCTCACGTGCATATATGCATAAAGTAATATAATACAAACAACGTAAACCTGCCGGGAAGTACCGTAGTGGAGTGCTCGACTCGCAAAAATGAAAATCCCAGCCATAGGACGACTTATCCCATCGTCTCCCAAGGATTAAAAAAAAAATTGTCGTAAATAAAGAATGGTTATCATGTGCCGGAATTATCTCCGAGTCCAGGAATGTGTAACTTCCACTATTGGCTCAGTGGGGATAACAACAGATGACAACTGTAGCACGTTCTCTTCATCGCGCTTATGCTGACTTAACTTGACTGTAATGCATTATTCATGAAGATAGGCTCTTATGATGTTCACTTTTGAAAAAAAATCCTTTCAAGTTTATTCTTACTAAAAATGACTATTTAGTTGTTTTTCGCAAGAACTAAAGAGTTAAATATCACTTGGATTCTGTACTTTCAGGAACCCAAGGATCCTTACTAGGCTGGTTTAAGGCTAAAATTACACCAATTCAGCAATAAAAAGCAAGCACCTCGGGGCTTATGTATAATTATCCTAATTGTAACCAAACAGTAGGTGGCTGCAGTATTTTTGAAGGTCAGAGCTTAATTTTGAAAGCCACATGGTTCTTTATCAGTTCCCCACAGCTACTGTGCCCTTTCTCTTAAAAGCAACTTGACCCCTTGTCGGTGCCTAAGCTCATTTCATGTTTCCCATCCGCACCTCTTTCAAGTCTGAATTGAATGTCACACTACACAGGTGGCAATGTGCATTTTGGCCAAGACGACGTCCCGTAAAACAGTCTCTGTGTCTCGGTAGCTCTTGCATGAAAAAATAGTGGCTTGATCAACTGTCACGTTGAGTTAAAATATGGTAGGCCATTCATATACTCTAAGACTTCCTATATCAGGGATAACACATTTATGAGATGTATTCACTTATAATGCATTTTACGTTAACAAACTGTTACGGACATAAATATTGTAAAATGTAGGCCAGCTGACTAACTCCATGAGTGTATTAATTAAACCTACATTAACATGAGGTAATTTATTTAACAAACTCTAAATCCCTATGGTTTCATAACAGTTTGCATGCAGAACGAGTACTCAATAAGTGGAGGCTGGGTAGAAATCTGAATAATTTTAAGATTGTGAATTCAAAGTCTGGTTAGGGTAAACTCAGCTCATTATCACCTCCAGAGTCAATACATTTTAGTAGCACTATTTAGCACAAGCTCTTGTTATAAAAGTATCCTATTTTCACTATTGGATCCCAACCAACAATTGTGCTATGTACATATTTGTGTGTGTGCAGTGGGTAGGATAATTACAGGCTTCCTCTTCTTCTTGAAATTCAGCATCAGTTGCCACATTTTTGAGCACAGAATCAACACCAGGGACGTGGCAGCGTCTCTTTTTCCCCTTCTTTCTCCTGCGGGGAATAGAAATCCTGTAAGCATGGCTTCTCAAGAACTTAGGCATGGCTGTAAACCAGGCATGGCTGTAAACCAGGCACGTACCATTGCAGGGGCATTAAATTGCATTTCATCTTAAAGTCAATGAGCCAGCAAAGAGGCAACTGTGTACAAGTACTCATGCCATAGAAATGTAAGCCAGATTTCTACTTACTGACTTCACAGGCTCAACACCAGCTTACAATGAACACCTTGTGCATTCTGTCGTGTCGAAGATAAACAATCAAATGTGATTGTTGAAATGTTAATTATGGATAATTAGGTAAATTAATAAACAGGTGTCTGTTTCATTTCCAAAATAAAAACATTTAACTCACTGATAATGGACCTTCCAGGCCAATATATTCCAACAGATGTTTACACTATGAGATCTCTTTTACCAGTGGCAAAATATAGTAGTAGGTTTTTACCCTTTTAAACTGGTACAAAACTGACACCTTTATTCAAGGCATCATGTTTGCAATAGCCACTGGTAAAAGAGATCTCATAGTGTAAATGCTTAACCCGAGCTCTCAATACTCTGATATTGCACTGTGTTTGAGTTGTACGCCTTCTGGTGTCATCTGGTCCAACACCAATGGGGACTAGGCTCTAAAGAAAGCCGTCTCGGGTGTGGACCAATCAACTTCAAGGACAGTGCATACTATTATCATTATCAGAGTTGCTTATTTTTATTTGCTTTTTTGACTACTTGTGTTGTGATTATTGCAAACATGATGCCTTGAAAAAAGGTATCAGTTTTGTACCAGTTTAAAAGGGTAAAAACCTACTACTAGAAGATGTTTAATCAAAACAAACAGTAAAATTTGTTTATATGCTATCAAGGTGCATTCATCGGGGAAAACACATTGGTCAACAAATGAAATGTCATTTTTTTGGCAATCCATCAAATATCTTTCCCGTTTGTTTATTATCTGGCAATCCATCAAATATCTTTCCCGTTTGTTTATTATCTGGCTTGGAAGGTCAGTCGGAGAGCGAGCGGCTCACAATCCGAAGGTTGCAACTTCAAATTCTGAGGTCCAAAAGATGAGTACCTCAATGCTCAATTGATCAGGTAACCTCTTTGGCTGAATTTTTGTTTATTATTGATTAGCATATAACTATATTACAGTAATGTACAGCTATTTTTTCATCCAATTATGGATGAAGGCCTTCATAGTGGTTCTGGACCATAGTGGGTGATTGAAGGAGAGGAACCCTGGACCAGATCAGACATCACTTGCCATCACTTGCCACTGGTGTTAGCTTAGGCCAGGAATCAAACTGAGATTGCTAGGTTCACAGGAGAGTGTGCGAACCACTGCACCACCACTCCCCCCCCATAACGCTATCACCGGGTTAAACTTCAACATATGTACATGTGGAGCCCTTTGTCTATCCATTGCTGACGAGGGCTTTCCGATGGCATGAAAGCTGTGGGGGCTATTTGGCCACACTTCTCCATCGTTAGCCACATCGCAGAATTTTTTTTAACAGGTCCGACGCTGCTGATGAGCTGCACTAAGATCGTTAGTGCATGTTGGTGAAGGCCTGGAGGGTGCATATAATTGGGTAATAGGGATCTTTCATAACATACTAGCGCGAAGTACCCGGCATTGCCTGGGCGAAAAAAATATTTTAAAACTTCTCTTAAAAACCTTACATATACATACACACATACTAAGTTATTGTGAAAGCCCGGTGGGCCGATTGTCCATTTCTCCACCAACAAAATAAAATTATAAGAGGCTTGCACAAGTGGGGGGGGGGGGGGTAAATGGTTGATCGAAAAGGTTTCTGAAAATTGTCGACCCCCCCTCAAAAAATATATTTACCCCCGCGTAGGTATATATACCTACACACGCTACATACAACAGAGTAAGTAGTATCTATTGACTCTGTAGTTGTATGTACTGACTGTACAGCAGTATCTACTGAGCCAGTAGTAGCTACTGACTGTTTAGTAGTATTTACTGACTGTAGTAACTACTGACCAAAGTAGTATCTACTGGCCCTATAGTACTATCTACTGACTGTAGGAGTAACGACTGACTGTAGTAATATTTACTGGCCCTACAGTAGTACCTACCGACTCTATAGTAGTAACGACTAACTGTATTGTAGCATCTACTGACTCTATAGTAGTATCCACTGACTATAGTAGTAACTTCTAACTCTATAGCAGTATCTACTCTCTATAGTAGTATCTACTGACTCTAGTAGCTACTGACTGTAGTAGTATCTACTGACTGTATAGTAGTATCTACGGACTGTAGCAATATTTACTGACTATAGTGGTATATACTGACTGTTTTAGTATCTACTAACTCTATATAGCAGTATCTACCAACTCGATAGCAGTATCTACTGTCACTAGAACAGTGCATACTGACTGTGGTGTGACCTGCTTTCACTACAGCAGTGCATACCGACTGTGGTGGTAACTGCTTTCGTGACAGCAGTGCATACTGACTGTGGTGGTACCTGCTATGATTAAGCAGTGCATACTGACTGTGGTGTGACCTGCTATCACTACAGCAGTGCATAGTGACTGTGGTGGTATCTGCTTTCACTACAGCAGTGGATACCGACTGTTGTGGCACCTGCTTTCAGTACAGCAGTGCATACTGACTGTGGTGGTACTTGCTATGATTAAGCAGTGCATACTGTGGTGGTACGTGCTATGAGTGCATACTGACTGTGGTGGTACCTGCTATGATAACCACAGTGAATACTGACTGTGGTGATACCTACTATGATTACAGCAGTGCAACCCCCGTGCAGCTTGAGCAGGGCAGGGAAATAAATAAATAGCTATCGCACAAAAACGCTATTTTAACTAATTAACCTTACTAGCCTTACGGCGTGGTACCCGGCTAATTTTTTTTCACGTAAACCCCACGGTTCACGAGCCAAATCCTTTGCAAGCGCGCGTACGCAGACAGACAGACAAAAAAAATGCCTTTTACAGGTTAGATATGCCGACACAATTAAAGACAATGTTTTTGTTTCATGGATGCTTTCTCCATCCCAGCCAAAGTGGTGAATAAACATTTTTTACAAAGGGGAATGCAACTCCTGGTTACACTTACATCTTGGCCACTGCTCTCTTGGCGAGGTTACGTTGTAGACGTCGGTTTTCTTCAGTATCTCTCAGCACGTGATCCTCTTTTGCCCATCGATCCCAGCTGCAAGCAACACACACCCAATTCACACCAATTGGATGGCGTTTTTGCCAGTTGCATGCAATCCACACAAATTTCAAATAGAAGCATTCAGGAATATTAACCCTGCATAGTTTAAAAGTCACCATCATCATGTTGTCTATTCACTGTTGGATGAAAGTCTCCCCACTGTGTCAGTGTTGGTCAAGGCGGATGTTTGACCATCCACCACCACACTGGTCAGCACAGGATGAAGCAAGCACATAATCTTGCAATTCGTTGAGTGATGTCTATGGGTGCCCATATCCTGTAACAAATCAAGTCTACCAGGCTCGCAAACTCCCTTAACCACATGAAAGCAGAGCCCCCTTTAAAAAGACAGAAACTAAAGTTGATCAAAATGCATGTTTTTCACCAGGCACTTATATTTATAGCATCTTACATACATGACTGAGATTCCATGTGCCAACTCAGTGCCCTGATCTCTGAGCCACCACCAAGCCAACTCGTAACTCATAAAAAAAAAATTAGGAAGTTTGGTATAAAAATGTAACCTTGATGTGCAATATAAACAGGTTTGCTTTGTAGCCCTATTATGTAGACAATCTCCTGCATGTTTTGAGTAATGCCTTTCATTATGTATCACAATGGAAAAAGCCACGTAGGGTGTATGGCAGTGTTGTTCATTGCAAGGCCCGCGGGCCACTGGCGGCCCCTGGTAGCCTTTAGTGCGGCCCCTGACAATACACAACACTTCTGAAAACACCATCGTCGCCAACATGTCAACCCATAATGGATTCAAATGTGTGGCGGCCCTCACGCGGATGATGCGTTATCGGTGAAAGCGCCCCCAACCCACTCCCTGGAAATGAGTGAAGAACACCGGTGCACGGTGTGTGGGTCTCGAGCTGCTGCTGGTAACGAGGTCGCAGGTGACCAGGAGATGACTTTGGTTGCGGCTGCTTCTTGCACTCAACGTCCTGGGGTCACATTATCAGCATTTGCCTTCCTGCGCATTTAGAATTGTAGTTTGGCTCAGGTGTTTTTGTTTCCTTCCAAGCAAACACTCTACTTTAGTTGCGTCGAGTTAACAAGTTAATATTCATCTTCGCTGTATTCAATTCCAACGAGGAAAGCTTTGAAGGTTGTGTTTAGATCACGCGACGGGGAACATACGACTACAAATAACAGAAACACCCTTCCCCTCACGTCAACATCTATTAAGTTCGCTCCATTATTCGAAAGTCGGATGGAAAGGAGCTGCGATGGTCCGAAATGTGTTTTTGCAACTACGTTTAGTTGCAGCAGATTTGCGTGCACCTTCGATTCCAACCGTTGAAATGGATGAGATATTCAGGAATCTTCCTCCCTTTGTCATCCTTCCCAACATCTACATCCACCACCTACAAACACGCGAAAGGCAGAGAACCATACACCATGTAACATTCACCCGTACGTAGAAACAAATGTTTCGGCACCTGAGCAATACGATTACGAGCAAAACACACGACGTTTATAGCAACTGGATTGCACCTGTCGGGAGCACAACCACGTGGCAGCGCGCAGGTAAAATGCCGTTCAGCAATCGAGCTCGAAGCACTCCACCCCTCTCCCCCTGCTGGCTGCCACGAAGCAGCCTATGACACCTGTTATGCAAGGCGGGTCGCCCATCCAAAAACCACTGCCCAGGGTCAACCCCGCTTAGCTTCCGAGCTGTGACCCCGGGGGCTGGCGCGCACCATTGAGGGCGGTTCGGTCACAGTCAGTGGAAGCACGAAGCGCACTGAACGCCCCTCCCCCCCCCGATGCCCAGACGTTGCAGTGTTCAATCTGAAGAAACGAGGGTGAACCATCATCCTCGCCTCCTCCTCATCATCATCATCCGCCTCTAACCTTGGCGTCGTAGAGAACTCGCGCTTTGGTCGGGTCGGGCTCGAAGCACAGCACGCGTTCCCCCTTCTGAAACTTTAATTTCACGCCGCCGCGAGTGGTGGTCATGCTAGACAAGGGGAGCCGCCCTCCCGAGCCTCGGGCACCATCACACGGCCAGCGCCAGCAGGGCCACGGACGCCTCCTGCTGCTGCTGCAGCGCCGACACGGACACGACGACGGCTCGCAACTTCCCGCCCGCCATCTTGCTACACCCCCCGCTCCTCTCCAGCCAGCCGCCGACAGACGACCAATCGCGAGCTGTATCGGAGGCCACGTGCGCTGTGCGAGCCAATCGGTGCAGCCGCAGTACAAAGATGGCACACCGGTTGTGTGGGGGGGGGGGGGAGCCCTGTACCAAGATGGTGGCGTGTTTGTGTGGAGGGGGACCGTACCAAGATGGCGGACCGATTGTCGTGAACCCCGTACCAAGATGGCGCCACAACCTCACGAATATTCATGAGCGTGGCTGCAAGGCGTTTGGCGCGCTCTGCTACCAACCCAGTTGACGATTATCTTAACCGGTCCTTGGCCTCCCCTAGGTAGACTCAGCCAAAAATTAGTACCTGGTGCGGTGTGTAAAATCGTCGCCACTCTGGATGAGACAAAGGCGGCCGGGCGTGGTGCTGGCCAACCCCCCCCCCCCCTTGTGTACCGTTTCGGCCTTCATAGGAGCTTGCTAACATCACTTGTCCAAACCACCTGTAAGTCTATGGGGCCGTCCATAAATGACGTCACGCACCTGGGGGGGGGGGGGAGGTCCGACATTTGTGACGATGGGGGGGGGGGGTGAGAAATGTGACGTCACATCAAAAAGCGCAACTTTAAATAAATATAGACTTGTTATAACACTCATTTGGATTACTTTTCATGATTAACTATTTGATTATTTATATTTACTAAGGTCACCTTTTATTTATTCCATGAAGGAGCATTTTGCTTCTCCATGGGAGAATGGAGAAGCATACATTTTGAAAAAGTTTTTAATGATTGTTATTAAACATCTTGATTCTAATAACTCTACCAGGGCTTTTCATTCTGTGGAATGAATATATGATTGTTATAATTGTACTCTGCATTTTGCTTCGTTCTACTACAAAGTTTCAAGTATTTTTTTATAGTTATAATTACTTTTAATATTTTATAATCATAAGATAATTTCAAAATAAAATTCTGAACATCTGCAGAACCAAGAATAAAAATCCCTCCAGTCACGAAAAATTTTAATCGAAATCTGCAGTTTTAGTTAGACGTGAATTTTATGCTAAATTTAAGCTTTCCAACGCCTCCTTTTTACAACATCAGAATGCAGCGCCACATTCAACACGCACTACAATGACAATAGTTTAAAGCGATTTGAAGGATGTTTTATATTCAAAATGGAATATGGTTTTGGGGGGGGGAGCTTTGTGACGTCATATTTGAGGTGAGGGGGGCCTGACCTTTCGTGATGCCGTGTGACGAGGGGGGGGTCAAAAATCGCGTGACGTCATTTATGGACGGCCCCTATACGGGGGATTTTTAAAAAAAAAATCTTACTCTTTGGTTCTTTCGGTAAAGTTACGTAGAAAGAAAATTAATTAAATAATCGAATAACGACGTTTCGATTGCAACATAAGCAACCGTCATCATGTAGAACTAAATTTGAGGGAAAAACAAAACACAGACACGGAGACACAGCAATACGATTATTATTTTGTGATAAGAGAGACTTATTTTGTGTTGGTGTAAATCTTTAATTCAGAATAACTACAGTATGAGGGTGCACCCATATATTGCTACATTTACAATATATTCAATTGTGAGAAAACAATATACAAACTGCCATCAGAAGCGTCAATGTAGTCTTTAGTGCAATTTCACATTAGATATTATGACAAATTCATAGATTATAAAAGTTGAACAGAACCTCTTTGCCTAAATACAGAATCCAAATGCCCTTTTAAAATACGTGTTTAGCATTGAGTGTCCGCCCTCGGATTGCCACCTCTTGAGGTACAAAACACCAATATGTATGGGAAGAATAATATCTCAATATCAGCAAAGGGTATAGCTACAGAGTAAATTATTATATTATCTGGCTGCTATAAATTTATACACGATAAGCCACTTTGTTGAGCTATAATGTGGCCATGTTGCCTCTGAAAAGAACCAATAGCTAAGTGGGCTTTATCTGGTAAAATGAAAAGAGTTTCGTTTTAGTTTACCTATTTGTTTTTAGTGATTTGCTTACCTTTCCTATACTTTGCACTCCTATAGTTTTTTTTTATTGTTGTAAATTTCTGACACACTCGTACTGGATATCTGTGAAAAAGAGCTTCATAGCTCATTTCTCCAGGATAAATAAAGATTATGATTTTGAAATGCATCGTCTTGAGTGGTATATTATTATTCAATTGAATAAACCTGGGGGTTTTTTTGTCCTGGGAAGACGTACACATTTCCCAGGACAGCTGTCTCTTTTAAAAAGAGAATTAATTCTGGAAAACCAGGACAGGTGTGCAAATCCACCATTGCTTTAAACCAAATTTCATATTTTAAACTTTAATGTACAGAGCAACTCTATCTTCGTAACATAAACTTGGTTTGTAAACTTTGGTCTATTGGCATGACTCCAGTCTTGCTTGTAATGTTCCATCCATTCCTATACAAGCTGGATACATTCATCTGTATTATGGCTGACAACGTGGGCTCACTGGGGTGTGCTCCTAGGACCCAAGTATGAGAACCACAGCTCTGTTGTAGCAAAACTCATAACATGCATCAATCCCTGGCGACGGTGCGTCTATTTTCCCCACTTCACTCTTACGTATATGTGTTAAGTATTACAGTGATTCATAATGAAAAGTGACAGTGGCATTACTCAACGAGTAAATCATTATTACATTTATGCAAGTGAATCTTATGCTAAAATATAAGTGATCACATAAAATGATGCATTATACTCATACTCTAGTAAAACTATATAGGAACTATTATATTTTGCGATATTAATACAATTATTTGAATGACACCACATTCTACTTACTGTTGCTATAGTGCAGCACATTTTATGCAAAAAATATTCCTGGTAAATTACAAAAGTGACCTTCATTACATTTCATAAATATACAAATAATACAATCCGTTCCATATATCTAATTAAGATCAATATCCATAGCTTAAATTGCACTCCAGAAATCTAAAATCAATCAATATTTCTATCCTGCACCTTGTCACCAGCACCCGTTTGGTGGGTATGGTTGCTTGGTTTCTGCAAGGGCTGGTATGGGACAAAATCCAGCAAGGGACCACGGAACTCGGAAACACATGCTTGGGCCCTGAGATGCAGAAAAGATCCTTATAAACGATGTTTTAATACAATACCATGACTAATGGGGGGGGGGGGGGGGGGGGGGCAGTGGTTAGCACACCGTTTCATGAACCCCGTAGCCAGAGTTAATTTTAAAATCGAACATTCCACCCTCCCTTCACTAACTCGCACTAAACATCGTAGTGGTATGATGTGGGAAGGCCTTCATCCAACAGTGGATTGACAAAGGATTGTAATTGTGTTTTGCCACGACCATAGTATGGTAGTACTATGCTGTTGCACACGTCCACACACCACCAAGTTCATGCATTCTCAGATTTAAATTCGTGAATGTTATTATCGAGAAGTGCATCATCTATAGTAAATTTTCTATTTTTTTACATTAACGATCGTTTATTTTAAAGTGTCATGTTATATAAAAAAAACTGTGATAGAGCCAATGTAATCCGAACTACACTACAGAAACTGCAAATACAAATAAAGCACATGCCATGAATTGGGCATTGAAAATGGCCACGTCACGGTGCAAGAGCGTGTAAAAGCTGTCAAGGCCATGCATGCATTCAGGCGTTATACAGTACTTGAGAGTGGCCCCTGACCAACACTGATGTGGTTCCTGCACCCATCCACCTACATTATTTAAACCCTCTGGCTACTTTCCGAGGTGTGCCCTTTTGGACTTTTTCCTTTATATTCTTGCACTCACAACATCCACACCATCTGTTAACAGATCGGCACCCTGAGACACCAGCGATAGCTGCCGAGATAAAAAAAAATGTAACATGCATCTTTGTTTAGTTTGTTTTATATACGGTGCGTTTTTCCCCACGAGTCAAAATTAATCTAACAAACAGCGATGAGTTTGTTGTCCTCAGGCTGTGTAATTTTTCAAGAGGCAATGAATGATAACATTCATGGCGCCTTTGCATCTGTCCTTTGTTTTAAAATGTTTCCAGATGCAACAAGGCAAAGTTTAAATGTGGATACAGATTGTAAATGTTGTAATGCCACGCCTGCGATGAATTACAGCTTTAATCTTTAATTACGACTGAAAAGTAACCTTGGGTTGTTACATTGAAGAGCACTGCATTATCCATGGCCTACTCTGGGTGTGGCTTTTAGTTTTCAAGTTTAGTTTTCCAAATGCATTCCAACCTGCTCTCGCCCACCTCATTTCATAATTTGTATCCGTGCCGACCACCAATACCTGCCATAGGTGCACATTTTCTGTCCCTCCAGCAGATAATTTCATTTCAATATCTAATCAATGTATATTACCTGCTATGACATGCATCATATACATGGACACTGAAGAATAAGTACACTGAGAGACAGGATTGCATGGATCAGAGAACAAATACAAGTTTTAAGCTTTATGTCGGCCGTTAAGAAAAGTGGCCTTGGGTGGGACACATCACTCAATGGTGGTCAATATTAAGGCGTGGCAGCAAAAGGAGGGAACACCCCCGGGTTTGCGTCCTCCACGGAGATGGAGTGATGAGATCAGCTCATGTCCTGGAGCTACATGGATTCTTGCATTGTGAGACCAAAAGAGATGGTGACAGCTTTCATCCAGCGTTGGATATTAGTTTATGGCTGTTGATGGTGATGACCCTCTGTTAAATATGGTCACTCAATTCTCCCCTGCATTTTGTGAATACATAGACTCTGAGTGTATGCCCGCCTTGTGCGTTAATCCACTGATATAGGTCAACTCTCTTGACATGTTGTTGACAATGAAAGAAGGTATAGACCAAATGTTATCGCTTGTAGTGAGATAGTGATGCGTAAATGCTTAAATGGGGCAACTTTATTCGTGGAATTGCAAAAGATAAAATATTTACTTCTTGAATACTGTATAGATTTTAACTGCACAGGGCATGTGTCTATTGATCCCAAATTGTAGTAATTAGCCAGAGGTAGATGGAAATGTTATTTTGAGTAAGCATGGGTTTGTGTGGATCGTAACTGCATAATTCAGTTGTACAGGTTGTGTCTTGGTTTTTAAAGATGCGTTTCACCTAAAGAGTATGGCTCTCCATGAATCAAATTAGTGGTGTGGTCACGAGATTGCTTGGAGCCCTGGGGAAAGCACTGCACAAACAAAATGTTATTCACCTGACAGTATTTGTTTTCGACTTACAAATGCACAACGGGGATTGACTAGGATTGCCGCAATAACTTTTCACAACAACACTTTTAAATATCACGAAATGTTAATTATTGCAATAACTTTGTAATTGTATTCAGTATTTGTAGCGTCTTGTTTTTGTATATTGATGCACTTTAACCTCGAATGAAGATTGCTTGAAAGTTATTCGACTGCAGTTCGCTTAACATGTGCCTGCAATGAGTCTTGTAATCATTGTAACTTTACAATTAATAACATATTTTGTTAGAAAATTCAATACTTAACAAAGTAGAATGAGCAACGACAATATGGGTATGATGATATTTAGAAGAAAGGACAATACGATTAGTGTAGATCTCATATTGTACAATATATCATCGTTTCGCCATACTGTGGCAATCCTACTCATAGCACATGAAGTCATCGTAGCTTCCTGGGTGTGCCGATCTATGGAATGATAAGCACCCAGACATTATCATTTGTGCCTTAACAGTCTGTTTATCAATTAATAATCTGAACTTGTCTCCTCAGACTTGAATATCCAAGGCTCGAAGTGTATTGCATGGGCAAATTTGAGCTATACGCTGCCACTGCAAACACATTAGATATTAACTCTCTATTGAATATTACATATGTCCATTGCTGTATTGCTACAACTCACAATTACAGTTGTCTTTAATCGCATATATCCATTGCAAATGAGTCATGTTGCCTCAGTTGGCTCTCACCAGCTTATAAATAAAGGTGTAATATAATTCACAATTATGATACCAAACAAAGCCACATTCTACGAATTCTCTCCTCGCAAAGTAAAACCACAAATGTCATGGGGGTTGTTGGATGAATACTTATGTGTGTACGCAGTCTGTACATGACGAAATTTCTTTTCAACATCGTTATTTGAGCGGCGTGTGACATGTCGGGCTCCTGTTGGCTGCGATACAGTTTGCCAGTTGAGTAGATTCAATCCTCGTTTCGACCAACAATTGCACACGTGCGGTGATGTTTTCCCACGAGTAAAACAGAATTCTATGGCCTCATTTTATTATTCCAGAAACGTGCTTAATGTCTTGTTCAAGTGAGCTCGTGGGTTTTATGTTTGTTTACCAATGTTAAAACATATATAAATGTCTATTTTATGTTGTCATCCAAGCTTGGCATTCAGTCTTTGCATGCACGCCACTTTGTGTTCTTGACAGTGGTGGTCCCTTTTTAATCGTAAACGACTAAGTGGGCATGCAGCTGAATTGGTGAAGCATATCCATCGTTGTTGATAAACAGGTCAGGCAGCAGAACGGTTGAACAGTGATGCATCCAGGGATAACAAAGCTCTTTATTCTTGAAAGTTCGGAATGGTTGTGTCTTTGCCACAAACTAGGAATGTGTGCTAAACTTGTCCATCGGATGCTCTTGGGGAGAGTGGCTGTGGACACACCGGTGTGCTGTACAAGTAACTAATTGGCATGTTCTGTTTACGTAACAAACCTTACTAATTGGCTGTGTTGGGTAGTGGTGGGTTTCACGACATTTCTTTATTTATGCAATCTAACCCAAAAAAAACCTGTATTATGAACTATTAAACTATTTAATTTTTTCCAGGTAAGGCCCACTGAGCTATGTAGCTCTTTTTTCAGAAGCGACCTGGCCACAAATGATAGCTCAACGAAGTGGCTTATCACGTGGACATTTATAGTGGCCAAACACTCTAAACGCATGTTGATCCTAAATCTGGAGGGAAAGCACGCGGAGAAAAATCCACACGACCATGGGAAGCGCATGCAAACTCCAAATATACAGGCATCAGGGTTGGAATCGAACCCACAATCTCCTGCATACCAGGCGAGGATGTTAACATCTCGCCACCGCGAGCTTGCTGAGCAACGATGGCGATGGCGTGGTGAATGGCCGTTCAACCGGCGTCTGGTCTTGGAGGGTAGCGGCCCAGGCCACACTCACTCGGGCATCTGGTCATCCTGGTCGATGTAATCGGGTACAGGAAGGCCGGTGAGCACGCTCATGGAGCGGTTCCACACGGCAAAGGTCGGCAGCACGGGCTCCACGAAGGAGATGGAGAGCGAGTGCAGGTGCTGCGCCGTGGCCGCATCGTAGAACGATAGCAGGCAACCGTCGTAGTCGAGCAGCAGGCCCAGCCGCCGGAGGTGGGCTCGGGGCTCGAGCGCCGCCTCCTTGCCGTTGCCGCGCACCGCCCAGGAGTTGTTGCAGCGGCCCAGCACCCAGGACGAGGGGTTCTTGCCCATCCACTCGTGCTTGGGAGTGCTGTGGTAAGTGATGCCCACCGCGAACCTGCACAAGCCACGTTGTTGGGTGGAGGGTGGGAGAATGAGCGAGGTCACGTGCCGTGAGGTCAAGGGAGAACCATAAGCCTCGGTACAGCGTACCCACGGGAGGTGGTACACTGCTGTTAACCGGTGCTTTGCAGGGTAGGGTTTGTGGATTCAGAAGTAGATCTTGAAACTTCCCGACATCGAAATATATTTAAAGAAATAATTCAATGTTTATTTTCTCTGCCAAATATCCATGACATACTGTACTGTACCAATTTGCAGGGTTTCGAGGGGAGGAGGGGGTCAATCACCACCCATTGCCCCAGGCATTTGACAAATGGGTGTTTGACCTTGTGCCTGATGATTTGGAGTGTTTTCCGTTGATGCGTGGGGTTTTCTGGCTGCTCCGATTTGCTTCCACGTGCAAGCCATTTAAGGAATTGGCCAAACATCCCAGTGCATTAACCTTCTTTAAAAGTCTTGAGGCTTCACTTGCAAAATAAATCACATTCTTTTACATGCTCTTCACGCAACAACACCACACGTGTAGAAGTTAGGATATGGTACAATGCTGTAGCCTGTGCATTTGCTAAGGTGTACAAATTGTATGGTTATTCAATGAAGGTAAATTGGATTACTGTATATCTGATTCAAGATAATATGGAAAATGTAAGATTTGGAATATAAAATTGCTGATTTTTTTTTAATAGTCCCATCCTGGGAAGTAGTCGTAGAACATAATTTTTAACCAAGAAACATTCCATTTAATATAAATAGACCCAAGCAAGAAACACAAATGTTCTCAGCCCATCGCTCGGCTACACAGATGCGTGCATATGAAAGATAGAATCTGACTGAGTTGCTCTTCGGAGTGAGGCTGTACTGAAGAGGGCTCTGCCATGTCATATTAACAAATGGACAAGCTGCATTAATCAGCCCGAGGGCTGAGAAGTGTGACAACAATATGCCTCCCTCGTACCACCTGTGTGGACACTTGAGTCCTGCAGGTCAACCCTCATGCTACTTTGTGAGATTCTATGGGTGTTGTGGTAGTCATCCTCTTGGTGTTCTCTCCTTTGGCTGCCACTCTTGTCGCCATTATCATGCATCGCCAATTATCCCTTCGAGCGGTGTATCCTGCCCAAACCCACTGACATTTTTAACAGCCAATATGACGTCCCTGATGTGTGTTTTTTCACTCATCCATGCGTTCCTCATTGTCTCTCAGTGTAGTTCTGATTATCCATCTCTTCACGCTTCCTTTTAGCTTTGTTTATTTTTTGTCAGTGTCCAAGTGTCTGATGCATTCACACACAGCAGACAAAATCCAGTGATTGAATAATTTCAGCTTAAGGCACAATGGGTGTGCTGCTTTTCCATATCAAGATCAGTATTCAAAATGGACTACACCATGCTTTTATTTGCCTCTATGCTCCTATTACATTTAAATATATAATTATTAATTTGAAGCTTTCGTGACTGCAGGAATTCATACTCTTTAGTTATTTCGGTAAAGTCACGTAGAAAAATAATAATAGATCACGACGTTTCGATCGCCACACAAGCGATTGTCCTCAGGTGGGATAGAGAGCGATCGCTTGTGTTGCGATCGAAACGTCGTGATCTATTATTATTTTTCTACGTAACTTTACCGAAAGAACCAAAGAGTATAAATAATTATTTTTTAAGGGTGGTAGAAGTAGTGAGTTTCTTTGGAAACAGAAATCAGAAGAGGAACCAATAACTGTGGTCATATTGCTCAGCTTTAAATGATATTTATTATTTGCAAAATAAGACATAACCTAACAAACTCAAATTGTTTTATTTAGTTACAAATGCAACGATTATCCACACAAATTAATAGACAATTTACACTTCACCTCTCAAACTATTTTCTTTTAATTTTACCAGGTAAAGCCCACTGAGCTCCATGGTTCTTTTTCAGAAGCGACCTGGCTATCAGAAATGATAGCTAAATGAAGTAGCGTATCACATGGACATTTTTAACAGCCAAATACTCTAAACGCATGTTTATAATTTTGAAGAGAAAAACCGGAGGAAACATCCACGTGACCACAGGGAGAGCATGCAAACTCCAAATATACAACAGGCATCAGGGTCGAACCCACGCCCTCGTGCAAACCAGACATCTCGCTACTGTGGCACCCTGTGTAATGTTCTCCTGGATTCAGCACGGCTCTCTCTTTGACGTACCCTGTGCACGCCGAGCCCCATTCACGTGGCAGTGAGGCTCCACTCCGCACTGCGCATCGTGAGGTGGCTAGCACAGTGACGTTACGGGAGCACTGTGTGCCAGTGCTCGCGACCTTGGCTTTACTTTGTTTTTATCATTAACGAAGCCTCCTGCTCTCACGATGAAGAGCTACAAAATGTATTACATTTATTTTCAATGCTTATCTGCAGATATGAGGAGCCGCCCATAAGTGGCAGCAAAGTCGTCTATTATGCGTGTTTATGCGCGGGTGATTTGCCATAAAGTGGTCTAACAGAAATGTCACGACTTGGCAGATAAAGAGGAGTCATATCTAGGTTGCCTTTTTGCCAGTATCAATGCATGAAAAATAAGAATAAGTTTTACCCTTTCTGGCAATGAAACAGGTGTTAAGATGTTCAGACACCAAATAGAGACCCTTTGCAAGGAATCAAGTCTGCATTAACTACATGTATGTGAAAAGTAAAACTTATTCTTATTTTGAATAAAAAGGAGTCACCTGGATGTCGTGGAAAATGCATCCTAGCCACATATATCCATAAATTAATATATGTATATCTGACATTATTTTCATGAACAGGAATAATAGGATTACCTCTGCATGATTACTCATGTGAGTATAATTGTATATTTAAAAGTTGGTAGGATCCAGTTCACCAGTAAGCTGAAGGAAATTTCTCAAAAGTGAATTTAACAATTAGATATCTCTTGCATGAAACTACAAATTAGCTTTTTCAGGAAAACATACAGCCAAGTCAGAATAAAATCCACGAATTCAGAATAAGTGTCACCTGATCCAGCTTCTTAAAGAGATGTCATGACAGCACAATAATAATTCGATTTAAACTAGATATTAACCATTACAGATGAGTATATCATATTCTATAATAACATGTATATATATTCTAATTCATCCCTGCCAATTATGAACACTGTACATTACTCTTTGGTTCTTTCGGTAAAGTCACGTTGAAAGAAAATAAATTAAATAATAATAGAATACGACGTTTCGATTGCAACACAAGCAACCATCATCAGGTACGAATGAATGAATGAGAAAACAAACATCTAACACAACAGCCAACATCCTACCTGGTTGATTACGTTCTTCCAAAGAATGCTCTCTGTGTGTGTCTGTGTGTGTTTAGCATTCTTGGCACAAGCGTCGTGGTGATGTCACCGCCACTTAGTGGCGAATGGCGGTTGTTGTTGTTGTTAGCATTCTTTGGAAGAACGCAATCAACCATGTAGGATCTTCTTGGTTTTTTCGGTAAAGTCACGTAGAATGGAAATAATAAAATAATAAAAATAAAACATAATAAAATAATTCTCACGACGTTTCGGCCACAACGCAAGCAGCCTGCATAATGCACGGGCATAATGACTTTAAACCCCCCACCAAACCTCCTACGCATTTTACAAGTAGTACTAATCGCATATCTGCATTTCCCATAAAAATGCAAAATTCCTCTTGATATGCAAATTCTTTTGTCAAGGCGCCCTTCCCCCCTCCATCCCAGCTTAAATAGTCGCTCCAAGCCTGGAGTGTGTCATTCAGACTCTGTCTCCTCGACAGACCTGCTCTCCACCTGAGGACGGCTGCTTGCGTTGTGGCCGAAACGTCGTGAGAATTATTTTATTATGTTTTATTTTTATTATTTTATTATTTCCATTCTACGTGACTTTACCGAAAGAACCAAGAAGATGAATCACTGCAGTCACGAAAGCTTTAAATCGAAATTTAACCGTGTAGGATGTTGACTGTGTTAGATGTTTGTTTTCTTATTCATACCTGATGATGGTTGCTTGTGTTGCAATCGGAACGTCGTATTCTATTATTATTAAATTTCTTTTCTTTCGACGTGACTTTACCGAAAGAACCAAAGAGTAATTCCTGCAGTCACGTAAGCTTTGAATCTAATTCTGTACATTGTTTATTATCACTCAAGAATAAACTGGCCTATAGCAGGATGGCATTACGATGGTAACTGTACCTAAAACCAAGTGTTCGGTATGTTATTAATGTTAACTAACTACTATAGCATCGTTCGCTTGCATGTGCATCCACTCACCAGGTGCTGCCGTTGGTGAGCACCTCCCAGTAGTGGCGTCCGCTGTCGATGAGGACGTTCCCGGCCACGCCGTAGCAGCTGTGCCCCCCGAAGCGCTCCGCGGTGTGGCTCTTCTTAGACGGCTCCTCGCGCTCCACCGTCAGGTTGTTGTTGCTGATTTTGAGCTTCTTGTGGGCCGAGCTGGGGTCCAGCTTAAACGGCTGGCCTGCGCGAGGAGGGACGCCCACGCTGTGACTGAGACGGTGCATCGCAAAACCCCGCGTTTGGTTCACAATCCTCAGAATCTTTATTGAGACTGGAGGAGGAATCCGATGAGCTATCAAGCTCTTTTTCACAGATGTCCGGTACTTTGGTGGCTCAGCAAGTTACAACAGCAACCAATACAAAAAAAACTGGAGGAGTGCAAATTATAAAAAATGGTAAGCAAGTCACTAAATATAAATACGTATTTTTTTCTTTTTTGCAGAGACTTGCTCGCCTCTGAAAAGTAATTACCGACTATGATAGCAAGGATAAGCATTTCATTTTATAGTGGTGCTTGCTTAAACTCATCAGTAACTCAAAGCCCCCTTAAATCACATCCCATCTCAATGGTTTCAATGCTCTGCTGCAGCCTAGCCAAGGGACCGCCAGTGTGAGGCCCAGGGTGAATTCAGCTCCGGCCTACAAGTGGGCATTAGTCTACCAGTAGGGTGCAATGTTTTTTTGCAGTTTCCCAATCAACTTATTCATCATATCCACCGATTCCTAACTATATTTGATCTTGAGTAATCCATAAAACTACAGTTCTCCATGCCCGGCAATGATTATGAAAAACTATATTTAATGAAAACTTATATGTTTCATAAATGGAGTTTTGTGAGATCCTGGGTTCGAATCCTGAAAAATGTAATTTTTCATAAACATAAACATTTTAATTTTCACAATCATTGATCACAAATTAAGTGTGACGCAGTACTCATTTCTGTGACAAGATCAGGGGGAATCTTAATTTGGAGCTTTCGTGACTGCAGGAATTACTCTTTGGTTCTTTCGGTAAAGTCACGTATAAAGATAAAATAATAAATTAAATAATAGCATATGACGTTTCGATTGTAACACAAGCAATCATCATCAGGTATAAATGAAATAGCAACAAAAATCTAACCAGAAAACTATAGACAGACATATAAGCAGACAGATATCACAGAGATACATAGAGAGAGAACACACATAGGCACACAGAGAGAGAACGTCTCTGTGACGAGGCCTTAAATAGAGAGAGGGGGCGGGGGCGGAGAGAGGGAGGGGGTTAGAGAAAATTAGCATGTCAATGAGTAGGACGACGCTTGGTAAGGTGCGCAAGCTGGAAAATTAGGAGAACGGGAGAGAGACACACTAAATTAAATAACCTAGCAAAATATCGAAATGTAATGTAATGCAACACAGAGAGTCGGTCAACACACAATTAACGCATAGCCTGGTTCATTACGTATTTCAAAGATTGCTAAGTTAGAATTTAAGTGTGAAAATTCCAAAGAGAGACAAAACACAAACACGAGGAACGGAGACACACAGACAGAGCAGAACATAAGAACGACAAAAAACGAGTGGAGACAGAAAAAGTACAGTAAATCAAATAAAACCTAGCAAAATTTCGAAACTTAATGCAATGCAACACAGAGGGTCGGTCAACACACAACGCATATCCTGGTTGATTACGATCTTCCAAAAATTGTGATATCTGTCTGCTTATATGTCTGTCTATAGTTTTCTGGTTAGATTTTTGTTGCTATTTCATTTATACCTGATGATGATTGCTTGTGTTGCAATCGAAACGTCGTATGCTATTATTTAATTTATTATTTTATCTTTATACGTGACTTTACCGAAAGAACCAAAGAGTAATTCCTGCAGTCACGAAAGCTCCAAATTAAGATTGAACCACTTCTACGGGGAAGTTAATCTTTTTCTCTCTCTCTGGGATTTTTGTTTTCTCTCTCTGCCTGTGTATCGATCTTCGTGTTTGTGTCTTTCAAATTTCACACTTAACTTCTAATTTAGAAATTTTTTGAAGATCGTAATCAACCAGGATATGCGTTAATTGTGTGTTGACCGACCCTCTGTGTTGCATTGCATTAAGTTTCGACATTTTGCTAGGTTTTATTTGATTTATTGTACTTTTTCTGTCTCCACTCGTTTTTTTGTCGTTCTTATGTTCTGCTCTGTCTGTGTGTCTCCGTTCCTCGTGATTTGTGTTTTGTCTCTCTTTGGAATTTTCACACTTAAATTCTAACTTAGCAATCTTTGAAATACGTAATGAACCAGGCTATGCGTTAATTGTGTGTTGACCGACTTTCTGTGTTGCATTACATTACATTTCGATATTTTGCTAGGTTATTTAATTTAGTGTGTCTCTCTCCCGTTCTCCTAATTTTCAAGCTTGCGCACCTTACCATGCGTCGTCCTACTCATTGACATGCTAATTTTCTCTAACCCCTCCCTCTCTCCGACCCCGCCCCCTCTCTCTATTTAAGGCCTCGACACAGAGGCGTGGTTTCTCTGTGTGCCTATGTTTGTTCTCTCTCTATGTATCTCTGTGATATCTGTCTGCTTATATGTCTGTCTATATGTCTCTGGTTCTGTGTTTTATCTCTCTCTCAAATTTATCATTCTCAGGAAGAACGTGATCAACCAGGTAGGTGTTGACTGTTGTGTTGTCCGACTCTCTGTTGTGTTGCATTGCATTTCTGGGTGTACTAGATTTGTGTTTCTATTTCGTTTGTACCTGGTGATGATTGCTTGTGTTGCAGTCGAGGCGTCGTATGCTGGTATTTGATTTGTTGTTTTGTCTTTGTGCGTGACTTTACCGAAAGAACCAAAGAGTAATTCCTGCAGTCACGAAAGCTCCAAATTAAGTATGTAACATGAGTAGATCAGGTTTTGCCTGTTCAAAGTCACAATGGTCTTCTTCATTTAAATGCAAATAAATCTGTTACGCTTGGTAGCATCTGATTACTTGTAAAAATGGAAATGTACACTCTTGACGGAGAGTAAAATACAAATTTTGGAATCCTTGAAGCAAAACATATCTTGAAACAAGAAACCATAATACCCTCACTCTTGTCATGAGACCATGGAAGTTATTGTCCCCTTGTATATCAACGCGTACAACATTGTATTTAAACAGCTTGTACGTATGTTGAGCTTATTTCGCCCCGCAAGTAGCCAAGCGTGCTAATCGGAGGTGCGGGGGAAGCACAACAAACTTAACACAAAAAGCAATTGTAAAGAAATGAGTTTTCAATCTAGACGATTTAAAAGTGCATAGCTCCAGTGGCTTCCTAATATCGGTCGGAAGAGCGTTCCGGATGGCTGCAGAAGCGCATCTGAAAGTGTGCGATGTGGTGACCGCCTTCGTGCCATAGTTAGCCAAAAGCCAGAAGCGGGCGCGTTGCAGGTGAAGACTCGCGGGCACATGTCTTAATGGCACGCCGACGTTTCGCGGTGCTGCAGGCTCAACGCGCGACGCGGGGTGGCGCTCACTGTTGGTCTTGAGTGTGACGCAGGAGCTGCTGCGGCTGCCGGCCTGGTTGATGGCCTTGACAAGGAATATGTAGCGAGTGCCACTCTGCAGGCCGTGCACCGTATAGTGGTTGTGCCGGATGTTGGGGACGATGAGCCAGCTGTCCATGCTGCTGCACAGGCCTACGCGGAGAGGCGGCCGGCGTACGCCACGAGTTAAACCACGTTCTCAGGTTCAGAAAGTTCAAGCAAAGCTTGGGTCTGTGTCTCTGCCTATTAATCAAACGTGTGCATCAGTCCATTGGCCCATTGGCTTTCCAGACCAATATCAAGCAGCATTTGTTTAAGCGAGCAAACTCTCCACCAGCTCTGACCTTCTGGGCCTCATCAGGCTTGTTAAACAAATACCGAAAGTTACGGCCAAGGGGGACTATTTCAATGTCTGCACCCTGTTCAACACACAAAGTAATACCATATACAAGAACGTTGTGCATTTCCGTGAAGTATAATGGGTAAAAGAGTAAATAAACAGAACTCTGATCTATTATTCCACTTATAAATACAAAATGTATTTTAGATCGCGTAAATATTTACACGATCTCACCCTAAAAAAACCTGTATTATGAATATTGGTTGCGGAAGCCTACATGTAAAACTAAAAAATGTATCAGTTTACACATATATATAAAATTAATATATGTTTAATGTATATGTGTAGATACAGAATGGAGTTATGAATATATACAATGCTCCACGGCAACACATTGAGTTTTTGTGCAGCTTTAGCAACTTGATCGTGGCAGCCTGGTCACCGAGGAGTGCACAAAACGATCCTGAGCATTTGGCCATCTTCATAACAGCTTGCCATGGCGGCGAGATTTTAACTAGCTCGCCTCATATACAGGAGGCCACGGGTTTTATCCTGACCCGAGATGCCTGTATATTTGGAATGTGCATGTTCTCCCCGTGGTCATGTGGATTTTTTTCTGGGTCCTCCAGTTTTTCCCTCCCCATTTAGAATCAACATGCGTTTAGAGTATTTAGATGCTATAACTTAATTAAGCTCTCTCATTTGCGGCCAGGTCACCTTACCCGGTATAGATATTTTTTTATCGGGTAGTAAAACCCAACATTCCTACGGCAGGGAACAAGGCTTCTCGTGTTTAGTGTGTTGTCCGTCCCCTGCACCTCCGATTAGCACAGTTGGCTATGTACGGTGCAAAAGAAGTTCAACATACATATAGATGTAGGACAAACCACGGTTTGATTGGCCACCAAATAGCGCATCGTTTCGTGACACTCGTTCTATGCAAACAGGTCGCAGGTGTGTGTGTGTGCGCATGCGCACACTCTGTGATGACAGAATTGGCTTGAGTGCAAATGAGCGCATGACGAATGTGCTGGCTGGCAGCTGCTCGCTCACTGTGGAGGTTCGTCTGTCCGGTGAAGATGGTGTACTGCAGCTCGTACGACTCCACGTTGAACTCGTCATCGGACACCCACTGCACCGTCACGCTGTCGTGCGACGCCATGCTCAGGTCCTTCTTGATGACTGGCGTGTTGGGTGCTGCCACGACACGCGTCACAACACCTCGGGTCTACACGGTGACGAGATGTTAACTACCTCTTGCCTGCTATACAGGAGGCTGTGGGTTCAACCCAGAATCTGGCGCCCACTGTATATTTGGAGTTTGCATGTTCTCCCCGGGGTCCCTGAATTTTCTCACATTCAGAAAAATGCATTTAGAGTATTTGGCTGCTATAAATCTCTACATGATACGCCACTTCATTGGGCTATCATTTGTGGCCACATCGCTTCTGATAAAGAGCTATATAGGTCACGGGGGCCTTACCGAGTAAAATATAAATAATTTTTAGTTTAGGGCAACGCGTCTCCTCGAAGAAAATGGACGACGATGGGGTAGTGTCCGTACGTTGCTGTTGGTGACCTAGAGAGCTGGTGATGTTCATCGATTTTACACTCTCCTATGACAGAAGCCAGTCTCTCTCCGTTTACAAGCTACTGAACAATAACAACACTGCCCAGAGGCATTTTATAAATTATATATAAATTTACATATACTGAACATATATATCCAACATGTATACTGAGATGAGATTTGGGTAGTGCTGATCTCTTTTGGTGGTCCTGATCTGGTGGTGGAAATTTCAATTTCTTATGGCGAGGGTGAGACTCTCCACTGAGGACTTCTGTTGACTTTGTACAGAGTGGTACCCATGTTCATCACGTGAGAACACGTGTGGATTTGAACTGACAACATTGCCCTTGTGGGTTAAGTGCTCTACTATTCCACCGCCTTGCCACAATAGTGAACACGTAGTTTTTTACATGATAAAAACACCCAAAATTAAAAGATGTAACAGGTATTGTGTATGAATGGCTTCATGACATCTTTTATGAACATACATTAGCAGTTTAGTCTTTTCTGTCGCACTGTTTAGCATCATATTGGTGGAATCATTTAATCTGTAGAACTGTAGTGAAATGATTAATTCATATCCGTTCAGAGCCGGGTGAGAGATATTTTGTCTAAAATTCCTTCAGGCAATGTATAGTAGCTGGTAGACACATACTACGTTATGGGTGCACTGTTGTTATGTGGTAAGCCCTCCGTGATGACTGATGATGTCCTACGGGGGAAGAGCAACTGTCCATAGTTAGACTTTACATCTGTTAAGTTTTGATATCCAGTCAAGAGCTATGGGAGATGCGGTGTGAATTTCCAGAGGATGAGCACACTGGACCATCGTTCACTAAATTCCATGACCACTGATGCGCACAGATGCCAACATTCTCACGCGAAGCTTCCTGCGCCGTGGGCGACAGCCAAGAGGGCTGCCTCTACTGCAATGGTCTCTATCGGCAGAGGAGCTATGAAACAAAAATACGCCGGTGCAGAATTAAAATGTTTTTTATGCATCTGTAAAGCATGAGAGGTTTGGGGCATTCAGATTGAGGGTGGTATAAGGCAGAGGGGATATATAATCGATGGGTATTTCAGTGAAAGTAAATGAGGTGGGAGAGAATGCACTACTCTACAAGACGGAGGGGAGAGATGTGTAGAAAATTAATAATTTTCAGCCCTTTGTCAATCCACGGCTCTTGCGGAGAGTCTCACACATGCACGTAATACCTGCGTGGTTGGGGATAATTATTATTATGACAGCGGAACTCCCCCGTAATCTAGGTAACCCGGTGCACACAAAGAGACGAGTGATTTTTCCCATCATCCAGTTTGCGAGAAAAAAATTCTGAGAGGAGAATGAAAATGTCATCGTCACCGCGGTAAAGTCTCTTTGCTGCCTCAGCAGGTCCACACACACACACATCCTTTAACAACCCTCACGCACCCAGAACAATTACTGTGATATTCTGTAATGGGAATTAACATTGATCCAAAATAACCCGTGACCTGTCAATAACTTGGCAGTATATGATCGGTGACATTTTGGGCAATGGTCCTTCTTTACAGTACATAGAGAGATGTAGAGTGGATTAGAATTGGGGACAGCACTCGATACACCATGGGGGCCTGATAAGAATTAAACTACTGTAATAATGTTTCCTGACGAAGGTTAAAATTATATATAATAATCCACTTAGTGAAGCATTTATAGGTTCAATTGTAATTTCAATAGAGTTATAATTTGCATTATGCACTTTGGTGATGATTTCCTGGGCTCAAATCCCATTTGAAAGGGATTAGAGAAGCTCCGAAGGAATGCTGGGATCAAAGCTATCAAAGGGACTTGCAAATGTTTAACTTCCTGAACCTTGGTAAGCAGGGTGGAGGAAGCAATTTTTTACATTGCCCTTGTTATCCAGTTCTACTGATAAGCAAAATTTGTTATGTAAACAAATGTGTGTTCCAGGATGAGGTTACACCATATCGGGACCTAAAATGGGTTCAAATGTTAGTCTCGCATTGAATAATACAACTATGTTTCAAGTGAAGGCGAGGCGTTCATTCAGTTCTGCTGACCGAATGGTATTCTTTTTTCTGGTCTCGTTTTAACCAGGAATGTTGACAAGGCCTCAGAGTGACAGGCCACTGGGGATAGATCTGCTTTGCAATGGACTCTCACCTGGCTGATGAAACATTCCTGAATTGCAGTCAGTTAGATCGGTATGTTCTATATATACACACGTGTGGACCTTTGTCAATCCACTGCTGGATAAGGGTCGTAGAGGTCATTTGACCATACTTCACCATGTGGGTTAATCCAGATTGGTGCTCTGCGGCAGCCTACATCACCGGTTTTTATGCAAGGTGGTCACCAATGCCAACGCTATCCAGGCTCAAACATGCTTAGCTTCGGAGATCTGACAAGATGGGATGTTGGTTGTGTCCGTAGTCATGTTCTTTATAGTTTAACACGTAGGCTTTCGCGACCAATATTATCCATAATAAAGGGTTTTTTGGGTTAAATTGCGTCAATATAAATGTGTCGTTCAACCCGCCATCACCCGACGCAGCAAATTCGTAAGGTTTATCATGTAAACAAAACGTGTCAATTAGTTACTACTTCAGCATCTCCCAACCGAGTACTGTATCATCACACGACCCGGCGTGGCCACGCGTGATTGCACCCCCCTCCCCATTGTGTTTTTGTTTGTAGCCTCTCCGTGGGTAACACGGCTCGGCAACCTTACACGTCAGGCAGTCCAAGGCTTCCAGGAGCTTCTTCTCCTTGGTGAAGTCGAGCGTGAGGTGATCGAATGAGTCGCTGAGCGTCACCTCGGGCAGCAGCATCTGGGACGTGGCGGTGGCCATGGTCAACCTGCACCACATCGCGTGCCGTGGAAGAAGCAGCGTTACGCAAATCGATGATTCAAATGGGATCCATCAAAGCGCCGTGCACACAAATGTCTTGAATCACATAGGCACCTTCCAAGAGTATGATTCCCAGGCTCGCGGACGTGATTTGTAAGCGTCATATAAGCGAAGCGAGTGATTTTCAGGCATGCTGCCAAATTATTATAAAATATTGACCTTTTTACTTTGAAACATTATATTTTGATGTCAAGCAAGAGCTTGGGACAGAAGCGACAATGGGAGGAGTTTGTGAAGCGGAGCAGTACGAGGGAAGAAGCAGAAAGAGGAGTGCTGCGAGCTCGCTGCAACGGGGTTAGCTGAACGCGGTGTGGAGGAGACGAAACAGCCTGTGAGGCCTGCGGGTGATTGAGAGACGCTACCGCTCAGTGATGTCCTTGGCAGTTTGTAGGAAGCGCGCATGGTCGGCCTCCTTGAGGCCATACTCTGCCTGACCCATGAGCAGGGTAGAGTGCTCCAGGCACTGCCTGCAGTCGGACATCTGCTGCTCCAGCTTCCTCAAGCGTGCAAACTGCATGCACACCACGGGGGCAATCACAATCATCAGCATCATCAGCAGCAGCCATGATCCGTCAACTGCTGGACGGAGGCCTCTCCAAGCTATCACCATCTCTCACGGCGCTGCGATGTAAAGAACCACTTCGTCCCGGCACACGAGTAGAATTTTATCGCTCCGTCTCCATAGTAGGTGCCATCTCGGACGTATTCCATTCCTTGCCTGCAGCTCCATCATTATTCTGGACCATCGTCCCATCGTCCCGTCTCAATAAGAGTGTACCTCTCATTGAGACGGGACGTAGCCAACCGTGCCAAATCAGGGGGTGCGATTATCATGGTGAATGCAACTCTGCAGCTTCCTCTTTGAACCCTCTTATAGTCATGTCTGCTTTGAAGTTGTCTTCTTCAAAGCAGGCCGAGTCACCCTTGAAAATGAGCTTCTTAGCTCAATGGGCTTTACTTGATGGAGAAATCAACTTCCGATTCAGATTCTCACAGAGCAGGAGGAGAGCACTTGCCTTGCCCTCGTGGATGCGGGTGCTGATCGCCTGCTTCCTCTGGCGGATGATCTGCATCAGATTCTCACATTCCCCCTCGAGCTTGTTCTCCTGAATCGACGAGTTCTCCTTCACGAACAAAGAGGAGAGACAACACGGGGAGTCAGTCTCTCCATGCTTAAACAAGAACCGGGCCATCCCAGCGACGCCAAGCCCGTGGTGAAAATTCCACATACCTGTGGCAAGGCCCAACATCCATTAGACGCTTGTTTTTTTGTTCACAAAGCTGTTACTTACACGATTTACATTTTATAGAGCGTCTAAACGCAAACACATCTCAAGTCGCTTTACAAAACAAAGGAATTGGCTCCAGCACATGAAGACAAACGGGGTGTTAATGTTCTCAGTCTCGACGGCGCAAAGTTCAAGGGGAAGAGAATTCCAGACAGCGGGAGCAGTAGCCGAGAAGGAGCGACCTCCCATACAGTGAAAATTGGCTGTGGGCAATTTTGTAAGATGGAGGCCTTTATTTCATGACTCTGGAAGAACGGGCAGCTGAATCACGAGTCAGCGATTTAAACTCAGTTGACCCGAGACCCAGTGCTGTCACTGTATTTTGCTGTTGTTTACTTCATTGCATTAGGCATTGTTTTGTTTGTTGTCTGGCGCTGTGAGTGAAGTGAGGAAGCGAGACTTGTTTACATTTTCCATTCGTGCCTTCCAGTGGCAGTGGTGATGATGTTTGCTATTGCGTAGGCAGTAGAATAGCTGAAGGATTTTTTTTATCATTTTGGAATTTACTACTATAATGAGCCTAGAATGTCTGTGTGTCCCGCGCGTGATGTCACTCCATGTCGGCCAGCCCCCTTCATTAATACTCATGAACAGGTGACGTCCTCCACATCGAACAGGCCCCCACATTATTAATCATGAAGAGGTGACGTCTTCCAAATGGACACCTCCCTCCCATTAATATTAATTAGTGGGTGACGTCACTCCACATGGGGGGGTGAGGCACCTCCTCCCCCCTCCTCAGCATCAACTTACAACCCTCACTACAAGCAGAACCCTCACGTTACGCGATCTCCGTAACGCTATTTAGACAGAAGTAAAAAGGACGTCATAATGAACAAGGGATTATAATCTTAAAATGAAATAAGTCTGTGTCACCGCGGCCTTACCAATTTCACACGAATGGATGCAATGAATATCACGTCGCAGTCTGCTTTTCGCTTGCAAGTTTCAGATTTACTGAAATACACCCGTCCTTGGACGGGCAAAAGGCGAGTATAATTTAAGAACCATAAAGCATCATCATCAATCAGCCATGATCAATCGACTGCTGGATGAAGGCCTCCCCAAGCTGTTCCCATCTCCCATGGTCCTTCGATGTAGCAATCCAACTTCACCCACGTGTCATCACTCCATCTCCTCAGTGGATGTGCTCTCTGGCATGTTGCTTTTCTTGGCTCCTACTCCATCGTTAGTGTTGACCACCAGCAAATAATAATGATAATTCAAATTCATAATGCGCATTCCATCCTAGGATCTAAATACACAATGCATGAAAATAAGGAAACAAAAACACAACAATGGCAACCGACCACACTATAGAGGGAAGGCCACTTTAAATAGATGGGTTTTCAAAGCATACTTAAATATAACTACCGACTCTGAGTGCCTGATTTCAAGTGGCAAGGTGTTCCATAGCTTGGGTTCCACAGGAACAAAAGTCGGATCACCAAAAGAGTGCACAACCAAGACCTAGGAGTGCTGAGCAGTTGTAGATCAGAAGATCTTAAGGACCTTCATGGAATATACAAATGTATAAGTTCCTGCTAGTAATGTGGGCTGAGCCCTTTTAAAGCCTTATAGGTTAATAGTAGTGTCTTAACATCCACTCGGAATTTGACTGGTAGCCAATGAAGAGATAAGAGGTCTGGTGTAATGTGCTCACGGAATGGTGTATGTCTAAGCACTCTAGCAGCTGCATTCTAAACAAGCTGGAGTCTCCAATGAGGTGTCCTGCTCAACTCAGCACGTTTAGTCACAGCCAAAACGATGTCTCTAATTTGCGTAATGCAGTATGTTCTCCTATCACGCCACATGTGTTCATAATGCGAATGTAATATAATGCGATGAATGTATGAGAGAACACATTTTTTATAACGTAAATGCGAATTGTATATAACGCGATTTAGTTAACGGAACTACGTCGTGCGAGTAGGAATCAACAGTTGTGCGGCTGCCTCGGCATAACATCACACAAGGCGGGTGCTGCTGGATGCTTCTAGATGCTACCCATGCTCCTCAGTCTTTGTTCAGCCTGCGTAAGCATCTCACGTGTTATCACAGACTGTGCTTTACCCTATATTATATATGTAGTGAGTTCAACTGAGTCGCAGACGTACTCTTGGAGGCAACACATTTATTTAACACCGACTGTCCCTTCACAGAATAACAACCTAGGGTGGTGTACCACCAGTCTAACTACACTAATTACAACGTAACTAGCTTCAATAGACCAGGACCAACAGCTCGGGTCCAGGTCCACATGTTGGAGACCTGTAGAACGTAGGACGTAGACGAAGGTTTCTTCAGGATGAACAACAGCGCCGGTCCCTCTGGGGGACCCGGCTTAAATCCTCTGTCGCGTGAGTGGCACCACCCTTGGCCACGACCACCTTCCAGAATCCTCGAGCAGGATCTCGGCCCTGACACGTGACCACCCCTAGAGTGCTACGGCCCTTAGTAACTCCATTTCCATGGCTGGCACTCCCACATCCTATCCTGTAGAGGCCGGCACTGCACGCCAAGCGTGGTGCCATCCAGTGCTATCGATCAGCGCTCACCAAGCCTCTCTAGGGCCGGTACTGCACCCACATCCTAATGGTGTCTGCGATGTCAATACACCACATGCCATGCCTCTCGAGGGCCGGCATTACACAGTGACATCTCGCGATGTCACTACATATATATTATTATAACGCAATTTTTCCATAATGCAGTGTTCTTCAGGAACGCAACTACCGCGTTATCGGAGAACAGACTGCCTCTAATAATGTTTTATCTTCTTGCATTTTAAGATGTTTTCGGGTTAAATTGTATCTTGCAGTAGTTTAATTATTACAGTAAATGTTTATAAGTCGAGTACATTTACATAAGCAGTTTTTATTTATTTATATGTACGATTCACCAATTATTTTGGATGTAAAATAAATTTTCAAGAGTATGTTGCTCGCCTGTGTGCTAATGTTAAATTGTAAGACAAAAGTGCCGAGTAAGATTTTATATGACTTGCCTTTAAATGTGATATCAATGTACGTGAAAAAAGACTAACACTTTCAATTTAAAACTAACCCCCCTTCCCACCACCTCCAATTTCAGAAATTGCTTCAACTCTGGCAAATTTATTTAATGTCAAATGGCGAGACTTTGAGTTACGTAAGTGCACGTATATTACAATTGTTGCGTAAAGAGAAAGAGGGTAGCAGCTCCACTCCGGTCAGGCTCGCAGCAATTCCGAGTTTCACTCGTGTTTGAGTGAAAGTTTTGTCGGCTGCATTGTTTGCAAAGTTGTTGAAAATATTTTCAAAGCCGGTATAAATAATATTGACTGTTATTGATCCCTACCTTGTTACGTTTGTGAGGATCAGCGATTAATGGCAGTACGCAAGGAATTAGACAACTGAGGGCAATATAAATCAACTGCTTTAGTTTTTTTGTCTTTGTGTGGATAGACACAATGCGTCAAGCTGTCACCAAACTGCACGAGCTCTGGTAAATGGTCACTAGTAAAAGATAAGTTAATTGAAATGCAGTTCCAGGAGAAGAGCATAGATTCTTATTGTCCACTGCAATGCTCTGATGAGCAGTGTTCTACAGGGGTGGGTTCGCGGCCATCTCCTCCTCCGTACCTCCACTTGCTGGTGAAGCTGGAGGAGGCGAGCGAGCAGAAGCTCCAGCTCGTTGCTGCTCGTCGCCAGCAGCCCCAGCGTTGCCTCCAGTGCTTGCTGCTCTCACGGCCGCACGGAGCACGGCAATGCCACAGATGCACAGAAGAGAATGAAAAAATAAGAATAGATTGTTTTAGCCTTTCTGGCAATTAAACAGGTGTTAATATGCTCAAACACCAAACAGATACTTTTTGCAAGGCATCAAGTCTGCATTGACCACACGTACTTGTGGTGAACATGCAAACAAACATGCTCTGAAAATATGTGCATTGTCTTTGCAACTAATTAGTCTACACCATGGCAGATTCTCACTTGTGTCAGACCAGAGAACCCCAAAAGGCAAACAGTACAAAGGCAATGCAAGTGTCAGAGTATTTATAGTTCGGGTTGAGCAGTGGTGATCAACGCCACCGGCCCACACGGCGTGGCTCCGATCAAGCCAGCGGCCAGAGAGCACTCTTGGTGCACACTTGTATCCGCGCCTCATTCGTACACGTCACAAACCACACAATGTGTACTTGTGTATACCGCTCTGACGTGTATTTCCAACCTCTGGTGCATGTCCAAGAATTCCTGGGTACAGCTGGTCCAACTCCTGGGAAGCCATTCCTATCTCCCACTGCTGGATTACCTGTGGTATATTTAGCTGTGGTCTATACGACCCAGTACAAGATGGTATGCCACACTGGAACTTCTCAGAATGCAAAAACACGTCCACACTGGCACTTTGTATAACGTTGTAATCTCAAGCAACATAAGTATTTTTGATGGGAAATGGCAGTGAACATGGGCCACATGACGAATAGGTCTCACATCGGGTCTTCTCAATCTCCATTTTGACCACTGGTCTTTAGTGAATGTCTGTGGTAAAACCACTCCAAATATGTAAATGTAAAACTTGTTAGGCCATTGCTATATCAGCCATCATGCTTTCGCGAATATGAACGTACAGTCCCGTATATGTTTAATGGTACTCACAAGCGCGACACAGGATTATAAATTATTAAAGCTGTTTGGTAGGGGTTTGGAATGTATTATGATTATTTACTTTTAAGTGAAAACCATAAAACCATGGAACTCATTACATTTAAAATCAGATTATAAAAATGCTAGCCCGTTCCATTTAACTGCTTCAGATATTTAATTACATGGGAAATTTTGGCCCAGCGGAGAGCCTTTGCACCAATGTCCCCAAAATACGTGGAAACAAACAAAATCTGCCAGGCCCAGAGAAGAGCACCCAACAAGTGACAAAGGTGAAACAAATTGTCAAAGTTTCGGTAAGTTTTTGCAGCCCCAAAAAATAATAGCGTTGATTAATTATTGACGGGACGTTCGTTCGCTGAACACCGCGAGTAGTCAAGCAGCGAGGAGGAAAGAACCCTTTCATAGTGCAGCCACGCAAAGCGGCAGCCGCCCACTGCGCACAGCCAGGCATGCAGGGCAGCACGATGCAGTGAATTAGCACGGCTCTCTTCACTCCGGCTTGAATATTTAATCGCTTCAAATTGCGATCAGATCTGGCATCAATTGTGACCTGTGAACCGAAAGATGGTGCCCGTCGGCTGTGTGCAGTTCACCCGAAAGCACATTGTTGCAGAAGCTGGCCAGGCACACTTGCTACGGATGTGCTTGCAATTGCAGATACTTGCTCACATACATAAATACAAAGAGACGCACAACATGCACAGACCATTACCCATTGCTGTACAAAAGGCATTGGCAACCAAATCGCAATATATTATGGTTTACATTTACATGTGTAGTGAGCGACTTCCGACACACGTCGAGTAGAAGCCTTAAGAGCACACAGGGCGATACGCTTCATAACGCAGCTACACCTAGGCTGTCCAAACATGCAGCCCATCTCCGCTCTTGCGCTATGCTGGCTGGTTGACGAGCTTAGCGGCGGTGACAGAGCTGGTCTTGCTCAAGAACAGCCACGTGGTCGAAGACGAAGAGATGACGACAGCAGCGGTGCAACCAGGACCCAGACCCCACACTAACAGCCCCGAACCAGAGGTTCGGTGCTCCTTATACCTGCATGGCACGACCAAGCTCCACCTCTGGCCACGCCCCGTTTCCAGAACCTTTGGGTTGGTTCCCAGAGCTTCTCTCCTACTTAAAACCGGATTCCCACCACCACCCATCTCAAAAGAATTCTCTCATCAAAACGCTATACCACAGAGCCCATGGCATTTCTGACCAACACCACCTGACCGGTGAATTAAGACATGTACATCGGGCCCTCAGGATGAACGGATACTCTGACCGCACCATCCGACAAGCTGTTTCTCCCACCATACAGAAACAGCCACATGAAACTCCGACCAAAACTATCACGTTACCATATATAGCAGGCATGACCAAAAAGATCTCCAAAATTCTAAACAAACATAAGATCCAAGTCCGATTCAGTACAGTGCATAAAATCCGTGATCTGATTCCATCTTTAAATTTCGATTTAAAGCTTTCGTGACTGCAGGGATTCATCTTATTGGTTCTTTCGGTAAAGTCAAGTAGAAGGGAAGTAATAAAATAATAAAAATAAAACATAATAAAATAATTCTCACGACGTTCCGGCTTCCCCTTATATCCCCTGACCTACGTCACCAAGCCCGGCTTACAGCCACACCCCTTCCCGACCTTTCTAGATGGTTACTCCCCAGGGCCTTTGAGCACCGCTCTTGAACTTTGGCTCATCCCTCTGATTGGTTGATGGCCCAGGCGGCGGAGCCTATCCCACCGATCGGCGGTGAACTCTCGTATTACACTTGGATGGGAGTCTGCCTGGGAATATCAGGTGATGTAGGCTTTAGTTGTGAAGTGGCCTGGAGATGGTAGTGCAGCAGAGAAATCGTTAATGTTTGGATTTTGTTCTATTTTCTCAGGGCACTCCCACATGCCAAGCATTCATAGAATTGGCCAAACGTACCAATGTGGGTACATTGTCGAGACCAATTAAATGTTGCAGGGTAAATAAAGGGCAATACATTACTAATAATACAATGAATAAATATATCACCATTGCTAACAACGGGATTTTTTCTACCTGCTGCTTGATGGACGTATACTAATGTTGTGGGTATAAACGTGGAGCGAGACTTCTCTCTGGAGGCAACACGTTTATTACGATAAACGATAATACCAATAGACATAACACTTACGGCTATGGCCCCTGTAACACTACGAGGTACGGCCCTGTCACCCGAAAACATAAGGGAGGTACAGCCTTCCTTCTAGCGGGCCCTACACACTCCGGGCTACGCTCTCACGGGTCTTCCGTTGAGAGGACCGGCTTTTATACACAAGTTGGGGCTTACCCTGCCCCTAACCACATCTACCCCGAACCTTCCAGAAGTGTCTGGAAGGGTCGGAAATGAACCGTTGGTCCCTAGCCCCGAGCCCCCCACCCCTTGGGGGTCTGGGGTCTCCACCTCCGGTCATGGGGTACCCAGGGGGGGGTTTTACCCCAGGTCAACCACCACACCTCCCGCTCACTCTCTCGGCCGCCCCCTATCGGCCTGTGAGGGTGGTGACCATAAGAAGACCTACAGCGCCTTGGTATGGCGCAACACTAATATTGAGGCATTGGCCTCAGATCTGCTTGGGTGTACCATCCATATTACTCCTCCACGTCCGCTGGTGATGGCATTGCACCAGCTCTGAACAGGTTCTGATTCTCACGATTCCTGCAGTGGATACCGAAATTGTCACGTGTCATTCCACCAGCAGTACATCAACAATCGTCGAGCACCATTATATTTGGGCGCCACAGTCGCTAGATGTTAACTACCTCACCTGGTATACAGGAGGCCATCGGTTCGATCCCGACCCGGGCACCTGTATACTTTATTTAGAGCTTGAATATCTCTCTCCCCTTGGTGTTGTGGATTTTTTGCGGGTTCTACGGTTTATCCCTCCACATTTAGAATCAACATGCATGAAGACTATTTGACTGCTTTTTAAATTTACACATGATAAGCTACTTTGTTGAGCTATTATTTGTGGCCAGTCGCTTCTGAAAAAAGGCTTTATAGCTCAGCGAGCCTTACCCTGGTAAAATAAAAAAAAAAATTGAATCTTTGCATTGTATGGTTATAATTGGACACACTCCTATCTATCCACTTGGTGACAGCTTGGTGTGTGTAGATTCTGCTGACGGTTTCATGAATTTACGCCACAAAAAGAGCTTTGTGGATTTACTTGCGAGTATGACATTAATAGCTTTAATCTTCTTCACCTAGGTCAAGTGAGACAAAATATCCATAATACATAATGCACAATTACTGAAGGGAGTCTCCATCACACATCCAAATTCAGTGCCACCTCAGGAAGCAATATTTTGGGGCACAGCCGCTTACAACATTTGAAATTCAAATGCGCAGATACGTACTGTATTACAGGGTGTATGGACATTTGAGTCTAATGGCAAGCCACATCATTGCATATTGCACAGTTGTGTGTGTGGTTGCGTGCATCTGTGTGTGGTCCATGTGTTAAGTATCCTCACTTAAATACTGTACTCTACAAGCACCACGATTTTACCAAAGCAGTGTATGTCCTCTGTACCAAAACAATGTTGAAACAACGTGCCATGTCCGATTGTCACATATCTGCCCTAAAAAAGTAACTGCCGTTACCCAATACAGTGTTTGTGCGTGGCGGTTTAGCGGTCGTTTTATGTAGATGTTCACATACATGACCCTTTCACGCAACCGCCAATAGCTCAGTCCCCAGCGAGTGAGATTTGCAAAATTGTCCTGCTTTAAGTGTAAGGGCACACCTTGTTAAGCTGGTTGACCATCCCTAAATATTTACATTTCATCTAAACCTACCTTTAGTTTCCTCTAGGTCGATTCAGTCTAAAATGAGTACACCGTGTTGTTTAAATATTAACCCTGGGAAGACAAATGCAGCAGGGCATAGAAAAACACTGGCATCTGATATTCATCAGTCTAAACCTGGAACAGAACCATCCTTCGACTCATATGTCACTTTGATTTGCAACACAGAATCTGCTTATCTAAAACATATTCGTTGAAATATCTCAGTAT